GGACTGAAATTGAAGCCAGAGATCTTTCCCAAAACAGGCTTTAAGGGAGGAAGTGAAGTCGTTCCACCGCTGTCAGAGAATACAAAGGTGGAAGAATGGTTGGTGCAAAGGAGGGGTGTCCAACTTCCTGCTGAAAGAGAGGAAATAAACACTTCCATATGCAATCTCTGCCAGACACACACATACACACTCCTACACAGCCTGGAGTTAATGCAGTAACACGCTGTTGTAAATTTGAGCAAGGGAGGCCCTAGTTAGCAACTCGCGCCACCATATGAAAGAGAGAAAATTTTCTGCTGCTAGAAATTTATAGCAAGCGAGGCCTCATTCATCATCACACCGGCTCTATAACATAATGCAGCAGAAAAAGAAATAAACTCCACGAAGCTGTAGCACTTCACTTCCTGATTGGTCTGGGAGAGAGAGGCAGCGGGTTTTTATGTGAAGAGGATTCAAATTTCTTGTGTGTGTGTGTGTGTGTGTGTGTGTGTGTGTGTGTGTGTGTGTGTGTGTGTGTGTGTGTGTGTGTGTGTGTGTGTCACATGCAGCAAATCCTGTTGACTGAGGCGGCTCCCACACAGCATACCTCCTGCCTGGGGGAAACCCATGAACTCTCTCGGCCACTGTGCCATTTTTCATATCCAGATAACACACTTTCATATACACACACATTTATGTTACACTGATTGTGTTGACCGTCCCTGGTTACACTCCCTAGCCCTGACATTTCCACCACACACATACACTCAAAGCCATACAGCTTAAACTTAATTCCAATTCCACTCCTCAGCTTAGATCATAACAGTTCCCATCTTTCTCCTCTGATAGATTTTACACTGTACATAAACACAGTCTCACAGAAAAACAGCATAGAAATTCCCCTGATCATTAACACACCCAACATGTGTAGTGAGACTAGAGCGAGAGCGTGACACTAATCTGATCTCCATCTGAAACCTCTCTGCTGTGATTGTGTGTTTGTTTGTGCTAAGCATGTGTTATCCATGGTGTTAGTCGGCGACCGTTTCCCATATATGGAGCAGTGGGTCATCTTCTTATGAAGATTATCCATAAAGAAGTTCCAGGGGTTTACCACATTGACGGGTCTTATCATAGGGGGACTTTCTGTTTGCAAACACAGCGTACTGTCTTTGTCATTATAGCACATCCCTCACTTTGATGTTAAATGAACTGCTTTCAGACTTCAACTCAGGAAAATCTCCAAACAATGAGGTCCGGACTTGAGAGTTTGAAGAACGCAGCAGGAGATTCTCCAGTCAGACAAATTCACAACTACACAGAAATGGAGCGTTCAGGTGAGGGGTGGTGCACCATGCAGGACATGGCGTATTCATTCCACTGCAGAGGTAACATGTTTTTGTGTCAACATTGACACTGACGTCGATCCGTTTCACCAAAAGCTCTTGAATCTCGTTGTATTTCCAATCTTAGTCGATGTCTTCTATTCGGATGTTAGAAACATCATCAATTACAGTGAATCCTCCGAAGGATCTCTGCTGTGTTCTCACGTGGTCTCACTCAGACATTACCCAGAGTTTTTACTCAGGTGCAGGCGCAGCAACTGACTCAGACAGTGACGTTCTCACATTCAGCCCCCACAAATAATTTCAGGAGGATATCCGAAGTTCAGTGCATGTCTTAAAGTAGCTATGCATACATCGAACAGCCTGATGTGTTTAACATTAAACTGCATTCAGACAGTTGCTGTAAAGGATGAGGAGTGAGACGGCATGTCTGTGTTTTTATGTAATAATCCTTAATTACAAAATCTATCTATTTTCCCAGAGCTTCAGAACAATCAATACACAGTGAAGCAGACTCAACAGGGCTTTGGCTAAGGGTGTGTGTTCTGCCATGCAAATATGAGTGAGTGTGAGTGTGAGTGTGTGAGTGTGTGTTGTTCCACCGATACCCTATGCAAACATCACAATCTCTGCAGTAGCGCTGGTTACAGCCTCTTATCAACTCAGTGTGGAGGTGCTCCTCTGCTAACAGGGCTGAATAGAGTGCTGAAGGTCTCAACCTAACACTTTTCAACACGTCTCCTTATGATGATGGCAGTCAACAGCAGAGGAGGCCTCTCGAGCATCAGCGGGCCAAGACGTCCCAGCAGCACCTCTCCACACATCTCACTTGATTAAAGTGAGAAAAAGGAACACACGCCCTGGGTAAAATTAGGTCACTTCAGATTTTACAGATGGGCCTCGTTGCCAAGCATATTTTCCCAATTAAGGCTGATCAGGGAAAAGGAAATTCCCAGACAGCATGAATTATTAAAAGCTTGAAATGGATTCTGATCATGTGATGTTGTATGGCTCTGACACCAGACATCCCCAGATAGTTTCTGGGGGGAAAAAAGGCGGGCTGGGAGCCATGAGACTTGTGATTGGCTTAAAGTGGTTGTTTCCTCCAATTGTTTAAAGTCATTACAGACTGCAGACATAGTGGTATGGTTCACAGTTAACTCTGGATGATGGCATGTGGAGTGAATTTTAAAATTCTAAATCTATAAAGGTAATTTTCTCAGAAAAGCACTTATTAAATGACCGAACACTTTCATGCTTCAAAATAAGACTCCAGAAAAGGTCTCTGAATCTAGCACTGGCAAAAAACACATGTGTGACATTTGACACTGTGATATGTTTACTGCTGGTTTCTTTTCCTGTAGCAAGAGTTTTATCAGAAAACACTTCCCCCACAGTTACTGAACGTGAGAAAGTGAGCTACCTACAATGCTCACAATTTAAAATCACCTGGAAACATGGAAACAAAACAACAAGTGACAATCAAACACAGATATTACTGAAGTCTTACGGTACAATGTGTTTTTAAAGAGCTCATAATTAATCCGCACTCTGTTTTCCTTGATCAGATCCTTCTCCGGAAAGTGCGGATGTGTGTACACGTCCTAACTTGTGACATTTCAAAATGCACAGGTGCAGATAATAAAATGAATGACAGCCCTGGTCTGGTCATACAGGTTCACAGTTCCACAGATCAGAGCCATCCGTATCTGTATTATCATCAACACCAGTGCTTTTCCTATGATGATAAGTCAGCATGTCTGTTGTGGATAGAGGTGGACTGAGGCTACATGCACCCGATTTCAGTTTGGTTTGAACAGAACTCTAAAAAGAAAACAATCTCTCTCCATTCTAACATGCCTGAAAATGCACATCACATGACCATTAACTTGCACTGAGCATGTACCTTTTTTCGCCTCCTGGCTCACACAGATTGAAAGTGAATGGGAGGCGGAGGTTCATTACTGATACATTCACCTGACCGGACCCTCGCCACTGGTCAACATGAGCACATCCAACTACCTGTACAACTTCTGAGGATCCAGTTAGCCCATTAGCACCCACCCACCTGTGCTCATGCTTAGTTGGGAATGTTAATTATATGAAATACTTCACACTGCATCACACTGAAGTTGCTACATGCTAAATTCAAGTGTCTTTATATACATGTATTTAAGAGAACACAATTTTATTAAGATTTTAAATTAAATTAATTAAATTAAAGTAAAACTAAGAACCTAAATTCAAAAGGATTAAACTCCAGACAATGACTACACCAGGTGATTTCACTGATTAACAAACCTTCAATCAAGAAGTAGGAACTAATCAGTGCTGTCTAATGGTGCTGTGTTTGATTCCAGACAATATTTACATCCTCAGTTGATAATCATTGGGAGACTTTGTCCTCAGTTTTAAAATTATTATAAGATTGATTTTCCTACTACTTCACATGTGGGAGAACAGTGAACTCTAACTCTAAAAGCACTCTCATGTTAACTTCTACACAACTGGTGCCCGTTTAAACGGTCCTGGTCAATACAGCTCCAGACGTTCACGGGTCGAAAATATGTGGGACTGTCCTTGAAGAGCTGCTGCTCTTTTGTCTGTCTCTACAGGAAGTTGAGTGTGAGGCGCAGGGTGGCTGCGAGCATCCCTTCAGCAGTCTGCTTCACCACGCTGGGAGCCTGTCACAGTGGCTCAGTGTCAAACCACCAGGCCCTGCTTGCTGAGTCAAGCTGACCATGAACGAGCCAGAGGCCTGATGTGAGTGTTTCTGCTGGGTACCTGATATTCCCACTCCTGTTGGGTGCCAGACACACGCTCAGTGCAGCCTGTGTACATATCTGACAGATACAGCTGAAAAAAAGGCCCAAACAAAGCCTCAGTTTGTTGTGTTTAGTGGATGATATCTGGGTTTAATGCCACTAAATGATCACTCATCTATCGCATGTGTCTGGTTTACTTGTATCACCTGGTATTCATTCAGGCCTTCAACAGTCAGAGCAGTGAGACCTGTGAGGTTTGGTTATTTCAGGTGTTGAATGTTGCTCTAAAGCTAAATGTCACCGGCCGACACTTTATCTGGATGTGGTTTTTAAACATGTTGGTCATTTCCCAGGTTTCCAGGTTTGATAAGGCGACAGAACAAAAAGGGGAAAGCTGAATAAACAATGTGTGAGAGCCTGTGTTGTTTACGTGTCCCTGGACCTGACTGGTGACATTTTCTCTGGGGAGAAAACCACAAGCAAAAGAGCCAAGAGCCATTCAGAAATCTGCCTATTTAAAGTCACCGTGCACGCGCGCGCGCGCACACACACACACACACACACACACACACACACACACACACACACACACACACACACACACACACACACACAATGTCAGGACTTCCTGAGGTTTTACCAACCAGTCTTCACCTGGAAGAACTTAAAATAACAAAAGACTAAACTTCTAACCCACTGAACTCCCCCTGGAAGGAATAACCATTTAAAGGTGGCTGTTTAAGGTTTTAAGGTTAAACTGTACAACTCAGTATGCCGAATTGAATTCATACTTCCATGTGTTGTATAAAAAAGGATTGACACAAAAGTTGAACACCCGTCCCTTTTCAGGAAGGTGGGAAACATAAAAATGGCTAAATATCAAACGGAGTTCTGCGTCCAGTCCTCTTACCTTGCCTGACACTTTTCAACCTGACGGGACCTTTGCAGTTGTTAATCAGTGTCTGCACGTCGTACAGGGGTAATCCGGAGATGGAGAGGTTCTCCACCTCCAGCAGGAGCTCCCCTTCGTTTAATTTCCCACTTTTGTAAAGCACCACGTCCTGGTTCACCGGGCCGATGTGGGCGAACTCCCCGTTCTCCGCGCCGCCTCGCAGCGGCACGTTCAGCTCGCCGCGGGCATCTTTGGACACGGAGCTCTCGGTCACCCTGGAGGTCCAGTGGGTTTTCTTCAGCGCGGGTTTGGACATCGTGGACAGTTGCGGGCCCGACACCAGAGCCAGAGCCGGGTGGACCCCACCGCCGGAGGGGGTCGAGGAGCGGTCACAGCAGCGGAGTGTCAAAGAAAGTCGAACCGTGTCCGGGAGAAGCGCAGCAAACTTTGTCCCGTGCGCCGCAGGAACATGAGCTCCGTCCCGCCGCTCTCTGCCCGGGAACACAAATCAAGCCATCTCCGTCCGCACCGGAGACACTTTTCACTGTGGCAACACCAGTTTCATTTCCACACCGACATCCCCGAGGTTTAATCCTCCTTCATCGATGTCACGTTACATCTGCCACCGACTCGCTCTGCTCCCGATCCTCTGACTCTCTCCTCTGAAGTGACTTTAAACGGTGGAAGTTTCTTCTCCTCCACTTCACCGCGGCTCCTCTGTCTCTCCTCCGTGTGTGAGGAGCAGCTGGGTTCACCTGCAGCTGTCAGCACCTCTGTGAGCAGGTATGAAGCTCCTCTGAGTTCAGATCATTCACTCTCTTCCTCTTCTTCTCCTCTTCTCTTCTCCTCTTCTCTTCAGTTTCTGCCGAGGCGCCGCAAATGTGTTGCTGTTCGTGGTGCATTCAAGAGCTGTCGGATATATTGAGATTCAGATTGGCTGCACTGTGTGCTTTTATGTGGACATACAGGTACCGGTACAAACATCAGGGACATCTTCACTTAATACTAAAATGTATTATGGCTTATAGCTTTTTTTTAAATGCCAATATGGCTGTTATTTAGCCTGGAAAGTAAACAATTAATGCATTTAATTAAATGTTTGTTATCTTAATTGCTAACAATAACTTTCAGTGAAGTCTGTCTGTCAATTTTGATCACAATCTCAACAACTGTTTGGAGGATCACCATGAAATGTGGTGCAGACACATGTTCTCATCAGGATCAGTTTTTACTGGATGGGTCAGGGAAGGACCCATTGGACTTTTGGTGCCGATACAGATTAGGCAAGTCCAGGATGTCCTTTTCCAACACTGTTCTTTGTTTCTCAAATAATTAAATGAAAATCTTGTTGAAAAAAGTGTTTGGGGGACTGACATTTATCAGTTGGTGCAATTTTCTGCTGATGCTAACACAAATTTGGATCTGGTGAATTTAAATGTGTGAATGTATTGCCAGCCATCTACTTTTTGCATTGCAGCTGATTTGTCGTCTTGTACATTAACTGCTAAATATTTCAATCAATATATTCCTTGTGTATGAATGTAAGTCTTCTACACTGTTAATATTCATGACACCGGTAGCATCTTGAGTTGGGACACTGACGTTTTTAAATTTGGAGTTTGGAAAACGGAGCCTACACAGAGCACGTGAAGGCAGCAATGTTACCTCGCACGCATGCGCACTCAGAGCAGTGAGGGCAGACCTGGGTGAACCCTCTAAAATAAAGAGTGCTACAGAGAATAAAGAGTCTTTGTGTTTATTTCTTTCTATTAAAGCTTTTAAAGTGAAACACATGTTATTCAAATTAAATCATTAACTGTTATATCTCTTGATTTGTCAGATGTTCCTATTGCACATATTTTTTATGTGGAAATGTTATTCTGAGGCTTTGAGCCGATACTCAAAGACGTTGAATCAGTTATTCAACACGCTTGATATGATGATTCAGAGCTAATTGGTAATTTGGTAATGACCTACAGTCAGTGTGTGGTTACACCTTGATGTGAACCTGACTGTTTGGATTCCTGCATTTCAGGTTAGACAGGAGGCACACCATGTTCTCATGTGTGTGGGGGGAAACCTCCCCTCACTGTCTGGACACTCCCAAGTGAAGTGTTAATGTGTATGTTTGCTCACTGACATAGAAACATGTACAGAAACTTTTTTAATTTTATTTTGTGAATCAGAGAAGCTGCAGAAGACTTCACATCTACTCAGAAAAAGACTTAACAATACCTAAAATCCATTCTTGCTTTCTCCACAGATGATGAGTCAGTCAGAAACAGAATGAGAGGACAAAAGAGGAACGGCTGTGACTGTGAAGCATGTTTAATGCCCAAGATAAATGAAAGCATCACAACAAACACAACACAATGCTATACTGTAGATGGAAAGCTATGAATAGGCTGTTAAAGAGGAAATAAATACACATCTTCATCACATGGGCCTCTCACTTCTAACTGCAGATGAGCTTTTCCCGACCTAAAAATAACTGAAGCGAAAGTACTCTGGGTCCCATGGGAGAAAAAAAACATTGGCCTGGATGGGACCGGAAATAGTAAGTGAGCTTTTAAGCTGAAACTTGACAATTTTCCCCTTATCTGTCCGTTATCAGCTGCTCATACATGAAATGCACAGTTAATATTTATTCACCGCAGTTCAGTTTCCTCTGAGGGAACCTCTCCTCACAGGCAAGTGATGAACAATAAACATTGATACAGAAAAGTACTTACCACAAGACAAAAGCCTCATAAATCATAAATATTCTCATTCATCTGCAGAGCACCATTAAAACTAAACAGCACTAACTCTGCACTTCTGTCTGTCATATGAAAAATACATTAACTAGAGGTGAGCTGTTACATAGTACAAAGAACAAAATAGCAGCTTTTTTTCCTGTGGGAGTTTTACTAAAGTGATGTGAACCCTCTGATGAAGGTTAAAACAACTTAGTGGAGGAGGAGGGTAGACTTGCTGCTTCTTGTTTTTGGCACAGTTCTCAGGATGGCGACTGTTTGATGGATCGCCATGAAATTTTGTGCAGACATTCATTCATTTGATCGTTCCTTGACTTATACTTAAATGGATCCATTGACTTAACTTATAGAAATCTGATAGTTGCCAGGGAAGTTGTGTTTTCATCCGCATTTGTTTGTTGGTTGGTTGGTTTGTAAGGGTTACATAATACTACTGGATGGATCACCACATATTTTGGTGGAAGGACATGATATGTGTCAGGAAAGAACTCATTTAATTTAGGTGCAGATCCAGATCAGGGAGCGGATTCAGGATTTGTGCGATAACATTTTGGGCGTTTCTTCAAGTTTTTTGTTGATTTCTCAAAGAACTTTGTAAATCTTGATAAAAAAAAATCACACATATTGAGTGGGTTGATAGTGATGAGTGTGTGCAATTTCAAGTAGATCCAAGAAAAATGTGGATCCAGTGGATTTATATATGGTTTCATATGATTTTTTTTAGGGAGTTTTTTTCAGTCACTGTATGGTAACACATCAGGCTAGAAACCTATAACTACCACCAATGTATAGCTGAGAAATGTAATGTTGCTTTACTTAGAAGGCTTGTTTTAATTTAATGGGACTGCAGGGCCTTGGAAGAGGAATGTGCTCTACTGAGTGCAATTCCAGATTGGATTTTGACAGAATACTAACCTAAAGACTCTCATCAGCCTCTAATCTCATTTGTTCACATTTAACACACCAGTGTGCCCAAATACAGCCTAGCATATACAAAGTCTTAATCATCTTGCCAGATCATCGATAAAGTTGTCGCACCTCCTGTCTTGAGCTGCATTTCGACCACACAAAGCTTCCCCCATGAATAGGAACAGTCTCAGCAAAGCGTCAGGAATCAGGGTCTAAAAGAAAGTTGTTGGTAAATCTTTTTACCCCCCAAAAAGTCCCTTGTCAGGGTTAGTCCTTTTCAAAAGTTCAGGAACTGTGGGGGTGAGTGTTGCAGCACTCAGAATTTGTGATTGGTCAGAGCACTAGAAGCATTTTACTTCACTCTGAAGCCTCAAACCGACTGTTTACAGTTTCCATTTTATAGTTCTTATCGTGGACCTCATGAGTAACTCCAGGTATTTTTTTGCATTTTTGCAGATTTTTGACTTAACAGACACATGGTAATAATCTATTTCCTGCCGTGTAGTGCTTCATGTAAGATCTATCTAAGTTTTTTATAAATTCCAGGGGTAGTTTCACTGTAAGGAAACTTCTCTTTTATCACATTCATGCAGGTAGACACACCTGGATGCTGCCCACTACAACCACAATCGGACTCTTTAGCCACTGAGCAGCTTCATGGGGGCAGATAGGGTTAAGAGCCTTGCTCAATGGTGTCAAGTGGTGTTAATGAAATGTTTTTATACCTTTCACCTCCAAATTTAATTCTGCTCTGGTGATTGAACCAGTGACCATGAGACTCCTTCTCTGACCTTTAGGGCCCAGCATTAAGGGGTCAGCCTTAAGCCAGTCTGAATTCACTGTTTGATTTGGGCCTAATATGAAGAAAGATGGTGAAGAGCAGAGGAAGGAGGAGTTTGATTTGTGCGTGTTGGAATGCATATATGTGCCAGTTACTTCCATGGTGACCTGCAGTGGGGAGGGAGGTCACTCAGCTCCTCTGCCAGCTTCCTGTCACACAGTGTCACCCAAATCAGATCGACACAGGCACACTGCTTCTGGCCCCAAAATTTCTTGTTCCTTCTCCTCCCATCCATCAGTCTGTGTTTGTCTTCTTGTTGGCTTTCGCTGCCTTGCTATATTTCACTGTCGTGTCCGCGATACACTCTCTTGTACACAGTAATAGGAGCAGATATTTGCACGCATAGAGAAACAGTGAATATGTACATACACATAATCAGGTGTCAAGGTGTTTATTGTCACACCGGTTGTACAAGCACATTCGTGAGAAAAAACGTTTGCAGGGAAGCTCTACTAAAAAGTGAAAGTAGAAAAAAGAATGTAGTAATAATAAGAAAGTAAAACAGAAGAAAATAAAAATGGATGGATCTAAACCCTGATATGGAACAATTATTTTTACCATATTCTTACACCACATTTGTAATCCTGTTTTCTGACCGATAAACAAACAAACAAAAAATAATAAGATAAAAATAAAATCATTTGATAAGATAAGTAATAAGATAAAACTCCCTAATAGTATATTATGAGTATTTGAAAATTAAATAATATATATATATATATATATTATAATTAATAAATAAAAAAAAATAAATAAAAAAAAAAWAAAAAAAAWAATATATATATATATATATATATATATATATATATAGAGAGAGAGAGAGAGAGAGAGAGAGAGAGAGAGAGAAAATTATGCAGCAGCCTAATTTAGGAGCTAAGAGCATATAACTATACTCTTCCAGTGATACTATAACGATCAAAAGGGCTTAAAAAAAAAAAAAAGAACTACAAGTACCAAGAAAAGAAACTAACCTTAGTAAAACCTAAAACCACCCAAAGGTTTAAGGAGCTCTTGACATGTCATTCTCTCTCAACAGCGCCATCTTTCAAGCTGTGCACTACACAGGACACAGCTGCATGTTGTGTTGTATCCACATGATTCAGTCCACAATCACCTCAGTGTTGGACACTAAATCGCATGAAGGGCAGACTTCACAATCACCTCCATTATTACATGTGTAGAGGATGTTGTCATTGCATTTTACAGTGCTTTCTTTTTATAGCCAAGCATCCCAGGTTATACAACATATCCACTGTCACACATGTAATATTTTATGGCACAGCAGGATATTAAACTCACGCAGCAAACGTCTGTGTCGCTGTGTTCTTGAGAAAGTCAGGACCTCATCGTGGAGAGATCTCATTATAGCTATAGCATTATAGCTTTTCACTTCCTGCCATTGTGCAGGTCTATGGTGACATCATGCTGTATGTCATGTGGAAGCACAACTTGTTTATCATGATCTATTCTTAACTACCATTTCCATTCATCTAGGCTGACGCGCCGGATGTCACCACTGACAACTAATGACATAATGAACTTCATGGCCAACAGTAATAACGCAGCCTTCCAATTCTGACAGCTGAGCTCAGAGGACTTTGGTGCTGCATTCAGACAGTCCTCCGCCATTAGGACCTTTCATTATATGGCTGACTCATCCTACATCACCTCTGTGATTGGTAAACGTGATACAGTGTCAGTCCCAGTATTCATTACTGT